GAACAATTTTTCTCCTTGACAAGACCACACAGCATTTACAGGTTTTCTTCCTCATTACAGCTGTTCTTCATTTGCTGTAATTCCCTCCTGGACCAGTATTGAACATGGATCCTCTCCTTTGCCCTACTGTGGTATTGTTATCCCACTTGTGTCACTGGACAGAAATCTGACATAGGATGAGAGCTGATCCAATCCTGAAACTTCTATTTGGTTGTTTCCCAATTCTAACGTCAACAGATTCTTTTGCTATAAAATCTTTGGCAAATATCAGATGAAGGGCAGTTTTAGTCAGGGAATTTACGCTGCTTTATAATCTTACGCATCTTTTGTTGTAATAAGAAATGCACATTGTAAATGTCAGTGTGAATTTTCCTCTGAAGGCTGGATCCTGCTGAGTATCCTTAACACTGTATTCCCTGGCTGGAGTTAGAAACTGCAGTGCACAAAATGGAACATTGTGGGTTAGTTGTAAAAGCAGGTAGAGTTCAGCTTTGGAGGATGTTGTTATTAATTGACTGACTGAGGTGCAAAATGAGAATCTTGCAACTGTGTTGAAGTGTGGCTGTGACCACACTATGGGTTGCGCCCATAGAGGGGAGCACCCTCTATTTGCTTTGGCTACGTCAGATCTTACAGTCTGCACTGGGTGTAAGGTTGAGATCTAGATTTTCTGCCTTCTGTTGACATCACACTAGGTGTTCATCAGTGGCCTCACCAGAGAAACAGCCTTCAGTGAAAAGTAGCCACAGTCCATTGTATCTTTGTGTTACCAGCATTCATCCTAGCTCAGCACACCTCAGATTCCAGCAATAGACCTAGCTTTTAATATTTTGGGGGGAAAAAAACCCTGCAAACCCTAAAACAAAATGCAAATAAACTATTCTTAACATTAAATGTAGAAGTTACAGGTAGAGACATTAAAATTGTGAGCATTGGATCCTGCAAACTTTTCCACTCCTCCCTATAGTAGTCTTCTGTTCAGCTTGTGAATATGTAGTGTTGAGTTCAGCCCTGCAATATCTCTCTGCTTGTATACAGGCTGCTGCAAGCAGGATCTTGTGCCTCCTCCTTAAATTTGGAGTTGTGTTGGATGATAGCTATGTTTTAAATTGGGGTTTTTATTGAGGACTGGAAGACTTTATTTTACTGCTGGCTTCCACAAAGGTAGGAGCTGATTTAGACAGTCAAATAACTTTCAGTTAATTTCAGTGCTAATCTGTGTCATTGGACTATACTTAACACTGGACTACGTTTTGGGTATGTACTCAGGAATGGAGGGATTGAAGGTTATGTTTATTGTTAGAACCTAGAATGCTCATAGGTCTACAGTGGAATTAGCGGAGTTTCGTTTCTTGATCTCTGCTGTGTGACAAGCGTATTGTGAAACCTTAGGCTAAGGTTGAGGTCAGGGCTAGGCATCAGAAGAGAAGAGGTCAAAGAGCTTGTTTTACTCTTCAAAGAGTAATGAAGATTCATATAGGATGAGGGCTCCTGTCCAGAGTGTTATATTGTTCATGGTACTCTAATTCTTTTCTTTAGATTTATTAAGGCCTGCATCTCTATGAATAGCCTCTGTGATCTAGATTTTATCTAGATTTAATCTTAGTACCTGGTTCTGGTGCTTGTATGTGTTGTGTGTCACATTAGTATTAGGAATAGAGAACTGTTAAAAGGTCAGAGTTCAAGATCAGGAGGGATTTAAGTGCTTGGTTTATTTGTATGTTCCCCGGGGCTGTAGAGCTGTGATGAGCGCCGATTCCTGCTGCTCTTTTTTTTTTTTTTTTTTTTATTTTTTTTTGGGGCGCTTTGTGTTGGTAGTGCTACATGACTAATTTTTTCTTGCCGTTCTCGCTATCTTATTGTTCTTGCCTACCCTCCTCCAGAGCTGCTGCTGCGTGCCAGCCATGTCCTCCAGGCACTGGTGCAGACCAGTGTTCACTCTTGCTTGGGCTTTTACCTGTTCCAGATAAAGCAATTGTTTTTCAGATATTTTCCACGTTGTCTTTCAGAAATTTTCCATTTCATCGTTCTGTCGCCCTTTTTTTTTTTTTTTTTTTTAATATTAGTTTTGGTGCAGTTGATGTCACAGAGCTCTCCTTGATGTGAGGTTTGGGGCTGTGATATCTGAAGCTCTGCCTCTTTTCTTTTCATACGCTGCAGTGGGGGACAGTGGGTTGAAGGTTTTAAGAGGCTGTTTCACATCACACATGGCATTCATCGGCCATAGATTTGCCACAGAGGGATATCGGCCACTGTTTTTAAAGTCTATATTCTTATTCACAGATTCACAACATGCTTTTCTATTTCAGGATCTTTTTTGTTTGAAAATAAAAATTACTTTAGGAATTGACCTTTCATTATGATGGGAAATCACCTTGAACATTTGCAGATATTAAGCAACAGTATTTTCTTTGATAATACAGAAGTGAAATAAGTTTCCTTTTGAGTGTTGTACCTTTACTCTTGATTTCCTTACTCCTCCCTTGAGTCATTATTTCCTGCATAATGTTTTCTTTGATAATATGCCATGGAACACTGAGTAAGGACAAAATGGTGAGTTAGGAGGGTAATAAAATTATGGAGAGATGTCCCATAAGAATCTTTTTTGTTTTAAAGTAGTGCATCTCATTTGGTCAAACTTGATAGATGTAGTATTGTTTGGAAAGAATAAACCTTTACAACATCCAATAAAACCTTTTTTGATTTTACATACAGTATATAGCTGCCTTGGTTATCTTCTTTTTTTATTTTACAGTGATGCAAACCAAAAACTTTTCCCTTCAATTTTTTGCTTGTGTTCCTTTGTCTTTTAAAATAGCCTTTAATAGGAGCAGCCCTCAAAGGACAAGAATTACAATTCTAACTTGAATAACTTCGTACCAGGGATGGTATTTCATACCTGAGACCACATTAAGAAATGGGATTCTGAGATTGCCAGTCACTTTGGTCTTCCGTATTTCATGACCTTCAAGGGGACAAAATTTGTCAAAAGAACTCACTGAGCATGGAAAAAGAAAAATATTTTTTTAAGCTGTAAAACTCTTCACATTTGATTTTTCATATTTTAATTTTACACTGAAGCTGGACCCATGACTTGGGTTGAAGATGATTAAAACTGGGGTTTAGCAGGTGGTGTGTTATGCAGGACAAAAGCAGGATCAGTAGAGTGCCTCAGTACAATAATGTGCAGGGTCTGATTTGTTCTGTTTAAATCTTAAAAATACCACCTGCAGACTAGAGACATTACTGGACGGAGTTAGATGTCCGTGTGTTGGCGTAAGAAATGCAGTAACCATTTGGAATGTTGCTGTCTTTCTTGGTTTCAGTTCAGGTACTCACTAGATGGAACGGATGCACAGCATCTCCTTCATTCTTAACCCTTCCTCATGTCCCTTTGAAGGGGATAAATAGCCAAGTCTTGCCCTTGCTTGCACCAAAGAACAAAGTACTGGTAAGGGCATAGCATAAGCCTCTTTCCAAGCTCTTGGTTAGGGTATTCTGCCCAAAGGCATGGAAGTGGATATGCTTCCCTCACCAGGTTTCCAGCCCCTCTATTCACCTCATGGATCTGTGCCTGTTGTGTAGATTCCAACATCCAGAAGTGCTCTTTAACACTGTGACATGTGTGAGTACTTGTATTTCTTCATTGAGGCATCACATTTGAGATTGCTCCATTCATTCCTTTGATTTTGTACATAACTGTGACTCAGCAAGCCATGCAGGAATGTGTGTTTAGATTGCAATGGACTTTGGGACCTAAAGCTGTGAGAGCCTTTATTGTGGGAGCATTTGCTGGGTGAAGTGCTGCAGGGAACACCTGACTGCTTCAGATACAGAAGCAATTAAGAGCTTTCTGCCTTGCTTTAAACAAAACCTGTGACTCTGACAAGACTTTTGCACTCTGAAACTTCACTTCAGCTTTGGCAAAATATGTAGTTTCACTAAAGATAAAATGGACTAGAAGCGTGTAACTGCTGTCCAGTTTCATCTATTACATAGTGACTATTTTGTAATACAGAAGGAAAAATAAGCATGCAAAGACAATCCAGTCGTAATGGCTTAGTAGAGGCTGATTTCAGCAGGCAGGATGTTCAGAAATGTCAGGTTGTGCTTCTAGGGTTAGTTGAGGGACTGCTGAACAGATCTTACTCCAAAACAAACAAGGATTAGTGTGTGACTCACTTGAATAGCAACTAGAAAGCAATAATTCCTGTCTGGCATGCATAGTTAAATCAAAGACCAGTTCATGACTGCCTTGCAACTGCAGAAGAGTACAATACTTACCTATTACTTTTTTCTCCTCACCTCACCTGCTAATGAAATCAGGAGAACAGTTTCATCTGTGTGTGGACATAGACAGGCACTCAGCTATCCATGTGGTTCTGTGTCTTTAACTTTGGGAAGAACTACTCTGAAATTTATATGCAAATCGGCAAAGGCCTTGTACTGTGGGCAAAGTGCTGGTGTCACTCTTTGGGCTTACATTTGTTTCAGCTGAGTTAGTATTCTTGAGATAATATTGTTGCTTATTGGAGAATGACCACACTGAAACTGCACTGGTGCTGCTAAGAAGGATTTGATTAGTAACTGGTGAGTTACTGTAACTTGTACCTATGGCCCTCTTGCATTAATGGTTAGAACAGTTTGCTTCACTTAAGGTTTATCTTGCTGCATATCCCAATGTGCTGGCTAGTTTGAGTTTAAAATATGTGTTAGTTGTAGAAAAGGGTTTGTTTTAGCTGGGAGAATTGCATGTGTGGTCAAGACTGGGGCTAACAACAAGCCTTAGGTAATTGCCTAAGCTCTCATGGCAGTGAAGATACAAGCCCTATAAAAACTCATAAGGTCATCTATCAGCATCCCCACATATTGACCAGAGCAGTAAGGAGCTAAGGGATTTCTTCTTTTTTTTTTTTTTTTCCACAGAAGTTTCCTGTAAGGAGAGAGCAGGAAAGTGAATCATGAGTAAATTGACTAATTACTTTCTTTTCAACTTCCAGCTGGTTTTGTGGGAGATACAGTCTATTGGAGAAGATAGAAGAATAAGGGCAGAAACTGGAGTAATTCACAGTGGTAAGATACCTTTTACATCTCACTTTGCTAATCATTGTGACTGGCGTGTGATGGGTAAGTTCAGAAACTTTTAAGTTACGCTTTCCACCAGTGCTTTACAACTGAGTTATCAGGTTTCTTGAGCTGCCCTGCTAAAGCTGATCATAGTGCCACATGCTAGAGTGATCACAGGAGGGGGAAAAAAAAAAGACAAATGCACCAATTAGTAAAATGGTGCTTTCTAAATCCCCTACTATGTAGCTTTGTCTTCTTACAGAGACACAGGCATTTAATGGTAAATGTGCTCACTTTCACATTGCACATGTGTGTGATGGATGATAACAAGTTGGAAGGTACGTTATTTATAGGGCTATCAGTGCGGGAACAAGAAGCGAGAAACTTTGGGGGCTTCTTTCACCAGGGCAGTGCAGCCTATTTGAGTATCTCAGAAGCTGCTTTTGTTCCTGTTTTGTCTGCTGAGTCTATATTCCACCACTCCAGATACATTTATTTCCTTTATCTTCTTTCTCTGTGTCATTAATTTGATTGGCTCATACTATATTGTCCTACAGCTTCTCCTCATCTTTTTTTTTCATTTGTTCAAACTGCTGTGAAGGTGTGTCAGGGTTTGCAATTTAAAGTTCTGCTGAATCATCTCACACTAAGTATAGCCCAAGGTGATGTTCAGAGAATGATGGGAAAGGGCAGCTTCATAGTAAAAAAAATAAAAAAAAATAATAAAAAAAAAATTAGACAACCTATAGACTACAAAACTGAGAAATGGGATCTCTGCAATTGCCTTGGTTCAGAGGTGGTCTGAACCCAATGTTTTTTGTCACTTGTTTTGAAGAAAATATTTGTTTAAATGTATGAAGTAATTCCTTTTGCTATTGTGTCTGGAAGTAGGCAGTTTCTCTCTGTCCGGCATGTTATGAAAGCGTAAGCTCAGTCTATTCCAAGCCTGACTAACAGCGGGCTAATGACCTCATCATTCTGTGCAATTCTAATGGGGATGACCATTTTTTTCAAATGTCTTCAAGGTTCTCAGTTTACTTGCAGCTAAGGACATCTGGATTGTGTTCTTTATGAATAGCTTCCTGAGAAATCTTCAGTGAATCACTTAATGCCTCAATTTTATATCTGTAAAATGAGGTAACAGTATTCCTGCGCTTGAGCATGGTTGTTGGGATGATAGATTATGTAATGAGGTTTGTGAAATGCTCAGACACTGCAATAAATAGACAGAAGACAGATTCATTTGTATGTTATTCACTGCAGGAGGGCAGTTACACTGTTTCTTAAGGATTTGCTTTTTGCTTGCAACTTTTTTTTTTTTTTACACAGAGTTGCTACATGGCAAAATTCCAAAGCTTTTGGTGGTGGAAGGTTTACAGGGGGTGGCTGAATGGAATCAGTCTGTTAGTTAATAGTTTACCATGCTAAACTTGGGAGCTGTGAGCTCTGTGACTTCCTCAAAGTAAAGAAGAAAAAAAGATATGGATGCCCAGGTGGTTCTTGCACATCTGCTGATCCAAAGTATCGCTCAAGTACATGATGAAATATTACTTGTCTGGCTGTAAGCTCTATTTACTACAGCTAAGTGAATCATTGGGTCAGTTCCTGACCAGACCTTGAGCTGTCAGAAACAGATGGCCTGCCTAGAGAGCGAGATACCTTGGAAGCATCTCCACCCTTGTAAGCAATGTTACTCAGTAAGGGATTTCTCAGAAGAGCAGTGCTGGTGTTCAATGATTTCAGTGAAAAGCTGGTAGTTTTTCAGCTATACTTGGTCTTCCACACCACAATAATGTCTTGTGGCTCTGAAAATAGGGAAATTGTTGCTGTCTCTTTAGTGCAGGCCCAAATTTGTGAACCAGATCCTTTACTTGGAGGGGCAGTAGTAGAGGGAGGTCAGTAAAGCCCTCCGCCTTGTAAAGGGCTGGTTTTCCACCTCTGAGAAACCTTCAGGTTGCTATTAAAAGATGACTGGTGTTTGTAAATGTTCTTCCTGGAGCTAAGGCCACAATTTTTAATAAGATCTGAAAATCTTTTCTTATAGTCTTTCTCCACCTCTCTGTCAGTAAAATGATAATAATAAATGCTTCCCCAGACTGTAGAGTTGTGCTAAGGATTATACTCAGCAAAATATTTGGATGTACAGTGCCATACAAATATCTACATAAATAATAGGATATTGTACACACTGAATATTGGGACAAGTTCTGCACTGGAATCTAAGGAGAATATAGTACATCAATCTGGAATGGGTTTTCTGTATGACTTGCTGGGGTGGGTTTACCCTGGCCAGCAGCCGAGCACCCACACAGCTGCTGCTTGCTCCCCTTACCAGCTCTCCACAGTGGGACAGGGGGAGCAAATAGGAAGAACAAAATGAAGACAACTCTTGAGTCAAGATTAAAAAAGGTTTAATAGGTGAAGAAAAGGCAGGGGCGGGAGGGAGAAACAAGTGAAGCAAAGGAGATTGCACACCGCCTCCCACAGGCAGACCCGTGCCCAGCCGATCTCCAAACAACAGCAACCTTGGAAACAAAAAGCCATCTTTTTCTTCCTCTACCCCAGTTTTTATCGCCAAGCTTGAGGCTATGTGGTATGGAATATCCCTTTGGCCAGCTTGGGTCAGCTGTCCCAGCTGTGTCCCCTCCCAGCCTGCTGGCTGTGGGGGTGTAGTGGGAAACAGAGAAGGCCTTGACACTGTGCAAGCACAGCTCAGCAATAGCCAAAACACTGGTGTGTTATCAGCACTGTTAGAGCCACAGATTCAAAACATGGCACCATATGGGCTGCTATGAAGAAAGTTAATTCCATCCCAGCCAGACTCATAATGCTTACTTACTCTTTAATGTATTACTTAAAAAGAATTAGGAGAAGAACAAAATCCTATTGTAAGATCTTAGAACAGAGTTTTCTAGATTAGTAATGTTTTGTCACATGTGTATATGTGACATTTTCATTAATATCATGGGCACTTCTGAAACAGTTCAAAAAGACCCTAAGTACGTGCTGAAGTTTATTTTTCTCTGAACAATGTCTCAAAACGTTTAAGCGTCATAGAATTCAGTAGCATTTAAGTGGCTTATTGAATAGGGCTGCGTGTTCAAGCTGACTCTGTCCTGCAAGAGCAAGTCTGAATAAAGGTCTGATGTTCATACTAGGCAAATTATCTCAGAAATGGATAGTTCTGTAATTACCTATAGATGCATCTTGTTATTGTCTGTATAAATATGTAATTTTGTGCCTTAAAATAATCCACTCTGTACAAGTTTTCTGAGATAGAATAGTCTGCATTTATCATGAGACTAGACAGATAAACTGCTTTCAAAATTAAATGTTAAGAATTAGAATTATGTTGTTATTCTAAGAAATTGAAAAGTAATTAAAATCTGAAGTAGGAATGAAATCTTAGTTCACTTCTGAAAAAAAACTTTAGTGAATCACTATACTCTCAGTGTCTCTGTTCTTCCCTAAAACACTTTATTTTTAATCGTGTGCTGCTGTCAACGAAAAATAACTGGCAGCTGTGTGATGCAGAGAGCTCAAGAAATAATTCAGTTTAGATTTCACTGATAACTTGGATCAATATCAAAGTCTGAAACTGCAAGCAGGTTGAGCCTTCACGCTGAAGAAATAATCAAAGTTAAATGAGACTCTTGAGATCTTGAAGAAATCCGTTATTTTTAGAATATTTGGACTGCTCTTTTGTTACTGCTGGCCATTCTTTATTCCACTTCTGTTAGTATTAAGATGGATAAGCATTTGTTCCTGGTGGTGAAAAGCATCACAAAGGCTTTGGTGAATGTATAGCAGTGTGACGGGTCTGAATGTAAGAATTTGAGGTGGCTGTCTTCAAATCTTTTGCTGGATTTGTCAGTCAATGCTATCCAATTCCAGCAGAGATATGACATGATGAGATTTACTTGGTCATGTGGTAAGCACAGTGAACTGAAACTTCAATGTCTTCATTGTCATGATTTGGGCTGGACTGGCCACTGAATGAATGACACATGCTCTCGACCTTTCTCCGGGAGAGCACTTCCCTTCACAGGAGAGGAGAGAGAATGAAAGGAAGAGGGAACTTATGGGTTGAAAAGGAAACAAAACTAATGAGATATTAATAATAAGGTAATAATATTAATTAGAAAATAATGAAGTATATATAATCTATACAAACCAGATTGAGCTCTCAGGATGACAGTCATGTCACCAGCAGGCACTGGGAAAGTCCCAGACTGGACTCAGTGACAGATGGGAAATGGATTCCTGATCTGGATCAAAGGCAGACAAACAGACTGTCCTCCTCGAATGCTGGCCATTGAAGACAAGAGACTGACCCCTTTGATCCCCCAGCTTTTAAGCAGAGTGTGATGCAGATGGTGTGGAATACCTTGTTGGTCTGTTTTGGATCACCTGTCCTGTCCGTTCCTCTCAGATGCAATCCCTCTATGCTTTTCTGCTTCTAACCCTCTAAATTTGTACACAAGGAAGTTAGCTGACCTTGGCTGTTATAGCAGTATAAGCCCTCTCTGCAGACCATTCCTTGCTATTCACTGTAAACATCAGACCTTATCTGCTAGAAGTGGACACTGTCTGAAAAATACACCATAATTTCAGAGAGTTAGAAGAGGCTCAACTGAAAAGTCAAATTGCTGAAAATAATGTCTCATGGCTTTTCAATGCTGAAGCACTGATTTGAATGAAGGTTTCCTTGAATTCATGTGGAAGAGTGAACATATTCATAAAAAAGCAGCCTACGGTGAAGGCAGGACAGAATTTGCTGTCCTTCAGTATGTTCTGAAATGGTTCATGCTGTAAAGGTTCATGATAAGAGGAAGTAGTTTTTCTTCACCAGTGATAAGTTACATTTTTGTTCTCTCTATGGAGAATGTACTTGGGACAGGTTGGAAGAATTGTGTATATATTTATCCTCGGCAGCAGAGGAACAAATACCTTCTCTGAGGGCATTAGGATGGAGTGTGTGTGCTCCTAGAATGGAGGACCAAGGC